GTTTATCCGTAAGTGATATAAGTTATTATATTAATCGCCAACACTGACATTGATAATTGTAATAATTAAGTCGTAATATTTCAAATTAGAAATGGTAAAACACGACATCGTTGTTTTCGAATATTCTCCTTGAACGACCCTAAAAAGATGTTTACTCGCAGTGTTGGTTCGATTGTTGGTTGAGAGATTATAAATGCGCAACGGTAGTATGCAGTTTACTAAATTGTAGTTCGAACAGGTGCAATTTAAAGCGAGAGATATCGAAATATTGTCGAGATTTCGTCGATCTGGAAGTTGATCATCATTTTGCAAATTTTATTTTATTTTATTTTATTTTATTTTATTATTTATTTATTATTTTTTAATTTATTTTATTGTATTGTATACCATTTTATTTATTTAATTATTTGTTTATTTGGTTTTTTTCTTTTTTTTTTTTTAAATCATTCCAACGATTTCTCCAATTTTTTTTTTTTTTTTAGCCACGAAAAAATTCATCGAATTCGATTCTTCGTATCTCACGTTAACCTGTTAATCGTTTAATCGTCCCGCTCGTAAATTCTTTAGGTTTTCCATATTTCCAATTTTTTTTTTTTTCTATTCTTCTTTTGGTTTTTTGATTTTCGTCTCGAACAAAATTCCATTTTGAGATTTCGTTCAAAAGTTAAAAAACAAAAAAAAGAAGAAAAAAAAAAAGGGAAAATGTTAACAAATATGATGACGTATTTGCGACAGTTCTTCTTCCCCCCGTTAAAAGATTTCACGAACGTGAATTCTTTTGGATCGTTTCTTAACGATCTCTATGAAATATTATATGACGAGAGAGAACCGGTTCTCACGAGGAGAGCAGTCGTCTCTCTTTGCTCTGGTAAAGAAGGGATCGTCATTATCGATTTTCAAAGTGAACGTTTACGAAAGCGGAGATAAGAGAATTACGAACGAATAATAATTTTAATAGGCAAGCATTGGTAATCATTCGTTTATCCTCTATTTGATTTACGTTTCACTCAAACCGGTCGACTCTATTCGACGTTCGAAGAACAAGAGAGAGAGAGAAACGAGATAGAGGACAACAGAATTATTATTCCTAAGTCAAGGCGCATCAAATTTATACTACTTTTTTTGTTCTCTCTCTCTCTCTCTCTCTCTCTCTCTCTCTCTCTCTCTCTCTCTCTCTCTCTCTCTCTCTCTCTTCCTCTATTCGCGTCTATCTGTCTCTTTAAAAACGAAGGATTTTTTCGCAAATAGAGAAAAAAAGAAAAGAACAGGAAAAAAAGGGGGAAACAAAAAAAAAAAAGAAAAAAAGAAAGAGATTTAATGAACAATAATTAACGATTCTCGTTGTTCTTGATTTCCACACACATACACACAGAGAGAAGAGTCCTTCGTGAAACGTCGAACTTCATTGTTCTCAAGCGTAGAATAAGAGAGAAACGAAGCGTCGTTTCGTTCGTGGCAAGTTCCGGCAAGCTAGAGAAACGAAAGAAGTTGCTAAAGCGTTCCGCGTGTTCGAGGTCTTATCGTTTCGTTCGATAAACCACTGTGAGAAATGAACAACTTCATTTTTCTGCCATTTTTAACGATCGATTGCTTCGTATATACACACACACACACACACACAAATATGTATAGACACACGGGTGTTCGCGTGCACACACACACACACACACAAAGAGAGAGAGAGAGAGAGAGAGAGAGAGAGAGAGAGAGAGAGAGAGAGAGAGAGAGAGAGAGAGAGAGAGAGAGAGAGAGAGAGAGAGAGAGAGTGAGATTAATACAAAAATGAATGAACAGTGTCTCAAATATTTTCCTTTTTTTTATATATAAATTGACGAATGATTTGATTAAAATGGAATAGGAAATGAACAATAAAAAAAAGACGGTCAGCTTTCTTCAATATTTTTCTTTTTTTCTTCTCTCTCTCTCTGTTTTAATTTATTTATATATATATATAAAAATTGACGAATACAATTTGATTAAAATGTGATATAGAATGTGGGGTAAAAATAGTAGCAGTTTTGAAATTAAAATTGAATCACGTTATTGATCGGTCAAGAAGTACATATGTCTTTGTGGCTAAGGGATTCGACATAGAAAACGGGGTAACATCGTTTAATTAATTATACGTAAGATGACCGGCTGATGCGCATTGTCCACAAAGTTAACCGTTCACCACATTGAAAGTCATACTAGGAAAGCCTCAGTCGTCCCCTATTTGTAACTGCGTTCTTACGGATTCCGTTGGTCGAGTCATTGATCGTCTACTACTAGTAGCCATTGGTATGCCTCAGTTATATCTTCTTCTATATAAAACTTTTAATTTCGAAAATATTTTTCAACTTCTTTTCTTTCTTTTCTTTTCTTTTCAATGATTATTTAATTAATTTAAAAAACAACAGAATAACATTAAGTGAAAGTAATAATACATTTTATTTGAATAATTAAAAGAAAAATAAACCGAATACATTGATTTATATTTGTTTTGCCCTTTTGATGTCTGACATCAATAATTCAAAGCTCCAATTTTTATCTTTTAATTAAATAAATATGTATTA